TTCAAAAAATCATTTTATTAAAAACCATCATATTCTGTACTGAATTTATCACAATGTTAGACACTTTATCTTCCCTATGTCTATATCTTTTTATACAATATCCCTTCAGTCATTTTTTTTATACACAACCTACTTGACCTGTTCATCATAAATCATTTGCAAATAATATTTCTCAATCTACACTTATTTTGTACAAGGAAAAAACCCCTATTGGGCAAGTTGCGCTGCCTTTGCCTCCACTTCTGAAACATCGCCCACCATGTAGAAAGCGGCCTCTGGGAGATTGTCATACATTCCTGCTAAGATATCTTTGAAACTCTGAAATGTGTTTTGTCCATATTAGGTGTGAATAAGGGAAATTTATCAGTCAAGGAAAAAAAAATAATAATAAAAAACAGGATAGACTAAATACTATATTTTTCTTCTCCATTTATGAGCAATAAAAGGGAAACGTTACCCTGCATTTCATGTGTACAAATACAGCATACAGGGAACAATGTAGTGAGAAAATAAATATATACATTTTTTGGTCACAACATCAACAAAACGGACCTATAACTTATTCATAAAACAGAATAAGAGACACGAAAGAACAAGGAACTGACCTTTATTGTGTTCTCAAGACTGACGAACTTCCCCTCGTAGCCAGTGAACACCTCAGCGACTTGGAAAGGCTGTGACATGAATTTCTGGATTTTGCGAGCTCTGGACACGGTCAGTTTGTCATCTTCTGAGAGCTCGTCCATGCCCAAGATGGCGATGATGTCTTGCAAGGACTTGTAATCCTTAAGAGGAAGGAGATTGGTTTGTGTTATTAAAATTACTATTACTAAAAGTATGTGTGAATTCTGCGTAGGCCGTGTGTGTGTGTGTGTGTGTGTGTGTGTGTGGTGTGTGTGTGTGGTGTGTGTGTGTGTGTGTGTATGTGTGTGTGTGTGTGTGTGTGTGTGTGGTGTGTGTGTGTGTGTGGTGTGTGTGTGGTGTGTGTGTGTGTGTGTGGTGTGTGTGTGTGTGTGTGTGTGTGTGTGTGTGTGCGTGTGCGCGCGCACGTGTGTGTGTGTGTGTGTGTGTGTGTGTGTGTGTGTGTGTGTGTGTGTGTGTGTGTGTGTGTGTGTGTGTGTGTGTGTGTGGTGTGTGTGTGTGTGTGTGTGTGTGTGTGTGTCGTGTGTGTTTGTGTACGTGAGCATGAGCGTGAGTTAGCGTGTGTGTGTGAGTTTGTGCATGTGCATGTGCTTGTGTGTGATTGTGAGTGTGAGTGTAAATGTGTGTGAGTGAGAGTGTGTGCACATGCAAGTGTGAGTCCGTGTGCAAGTGTGAGTGTGGTATGTTCTCATTTTTATAATATTTGACACATCCATCAAACTTGAACAACCCATCATCCTTACAACCACACCGAAACCAAACCCAAGCTCACAAAGACCACAAACCTGCAAGATTTTCTGAACACCTCTCGCCGTCGCGTAATGCTCCTCGCCAATGATATTTGGGTCCATAATCCTCGACGTGGAGTCCAGGGGGTCGACAGCAGGGTAGATGCCCAGTTCTGCGATGCCTCGGGATAGCACAGTGGTGGCGTCGAGATGGGCAAAAGTGGTGGCCGGGGCGGGGTCAGTCAGGTCATCAGCTGGCACATAGATGGCCTAAGGAGGAAGGAGGAGGACGGGGAGGTTTAATATTGTCATTTTGCAGTCATATGAAGAAAAAAAGGGGGGGAATAATAGTGCTACTAATAACAAAACAGCAACAGTAACAAAGCTAAAAAAAGGACAATAGTGATACTGATACTAATACTAATAATGAACTTTATAATAAAAAGGATAATTATGATACTAACTGCAATACCATCACCATACTAATAAATATAGCAATCCTACAATTGAGAATGATGATGATGATGATGATAATGATCAAAAGAAGGAAGTTGAGGGTCAGGAGGAAAATAAAGATAAAAACAACTGATAATAATAATAATAATAATATCACTAACAAAGTTTTTAAAATCTTGAAATACACCACAATTTCCACACCTGCACTGATGTAATGGAACCCTTCTTGGTTGTGGTAATTCTCTCCTGCATGCTACCCATGTCAGTTGCAAGAGTAGGCTGGTATCCCACCGCAGATGGGATGCGTCCTAAAAGAGCAGATACCTCGGAACCTGCCTGTGTAAATCTGGTCAAGAAAAGACAAGAATTAGTAAGCCTTTATTTTACTTGTGTAAAATACTTTACTCAGTCCAAATTTAGGAATGAAAAATAGGTAGCTCACTCCTCCAAGGCTCTTTTAAAAAATGGTAGTGAAAATAATTATATATCTATTCTAAAAAATGCTACATATATCTAGACATCAGCAGTGTGTCAGCTGATTTAAAAGAAAAGGTGACTCCAAATTCCAGGGTATTGATAATATAGTGATGGCAATAACAAGATCAAGACAATATTGTCACAGAACAGTATCCTCTAATTTCATGAACAATAGTCAAGGTAAATAAAAATATAAAACATTCAAATAAAATCTTAACCTGAAAATGTTGTCCACAAAGAAGAGCACATCTTGGCCCTCTTCATCTCTGAAATACTCCGCCACAGTGAGACCGGTGAGTGCCACACGAGCTCTGGCACCGGGTGGCTCATTCATCTGGCCATACACAAGGGCTACCTGTGTGGTATTAGGGTTTTAGTCCTGTGTGGTATTAAAGTGCTGACCAGAAATAACTTGAGGAATATGCTTGGGCTTTGGGAAAGGATTTTCATTTTTAATATTGTATTCACTACTTTTGGTGGAAAAGTGACCTAAATTTTTTCATGTTGACATTTCTGACCAAAATAAGTTTGGGCTGCACAAGTCCTAATACCAGTAGCCATTTCATATCTATTGATAAACTATATACAAAATGTCCATATCACTGCGACAATACTATCTAGTCAAACACCATTTCCATGTATAAGCTGTATATTGTGATGATACTGAATGATTAACTAAAATATATTACTCAAATGATCACCATATTCATCTTCCACATGTGACCATTAAATCCTACCTTAGATGTATCATCTTTGAGTGAAATGACTCCAGACTCAATCATCTCATGGTAGAGATCATTTCCCTCACGGGTCCTTTCTCCCACACCAGCAAAGACGGAGTAGCCACCATGAGCTTTGGCCACATTGTTGATGAGTTCCATAATGAGTACAGTTTTGCCCACACCAGCACCACCGAATAAACCTGGAGGTAAAAAGGTATATATGCATCTGGTGATGATTGTACTTGTGCTCTGAGGATTAGGTACAGAATATTAGGTAAATAACAGCTGAATAAAGTGAGATCTAATAACCAAACATGGTAAATCACCAAATTCTGCATCCAGACGATATACCACATATAAAGAAACATCAACATCATCCTTTATCAACAAGTACCTCCAGAACCACAGAAACTTACCAATTTTCCCTCCCTTTGAGTAAGGAGCTAACATGTCCACCACTCACCATTTCATGCTGTCTCCTTCCTGTACACTCATGTCCTCAAAACTTGGAGCATCTGCGTGGATAGCAGCGAAGGCTTTGGAGTCGATGGGCCCTCTCTCATCGATGGGCTCGCCTGCAAGTGGGTGAGGCCATTAATGAAGAGAGGGACAAGGTAAAGAGGGAGGAAGAAGGAGAGAGGGGGAGAGGAATGCTAAGGAGGGAGGGAGAAGGAGAGAGGATAATAGAGGCAGTAAGGAGGGAGGGAGAAGGAGAGAGAGAGAGAGGGACAGTAAGGAGGGAGGGAGAAGGAGAGAGAGGGCAAGGGACAGTAAGGAGAAAGGGGAAGAGGGATGGTAAAGAGGGTGAGAGGGGAAAAGGAGTGTGGGGGAGAGGGATGAAGAAATAGAGAGGAGGAGAGGGGTGATAAGGAGGAGGGGAGAAGGAGAGAGAGTGCAAGGGGCAGTACGGAGAAAAGGGGAGGAGGACAGTAAGAAGGAAGGAAGAGAGAAAGAGAGAGGGGGAAAGGGATGGTAAGAAGGAGGGAGGGTGGGAGAAGGAGCGTAGCTAAATGAGAGAAGGAGAGGAGAGGAGAGGAAAGGAGAGATGGAGGGAGAGAAACAGAAGAAAAGAGAGAGGGCAGGGGAGCAAAAGAGAGACAAGGAAAGGGAATGGGAGAGAAGAGGAGAGTGAAGAGAGAGAAAGAGAAAGACAAACAACACGAATCGTGTTCGAAAAATGTCAACCAAATACATCACAGACTGCTCCTTGAATGACAAAGAAAAAATATCTTTCAACACAAAATCCAAATCTCCAATAACACATTCACATAACATATATACCTTAACAAGAGATACTTTAGCAAACTCTTACCGATAACATTCATGATTCTGCCTAGAGTCGAAGGACCAACTGGAATTGAAATGGGACTGCCTGAATCAGTTACAGTTTGTCCACGTATAAGTCCTTCTGTGCCATCCATGGCAATTGTTCGTACTGTGTTACCACCTGTGGACAAAAGAATACTGTCAGTTTCTTTTTACCAAATTTAGTGAATGAAATTTTATACTTAAATGGTGAACTATAGGTCCTCAGTATAGAAAACTGAATGAATAGGTTGGTGTGTGTGTGTGTAAATATAAATATATATATATATATATATATATATATATATATATATATATATATATATATATATATATATATATATATATATATATATATATATATATACATATATTTGCACACACACACACACACACACACATATATATAGAGAGAGAGACAGAGATATAGATATAAAGATATATACTGATATAGATATATAGATAGATATATATACATACATAAATACATAAATACATACACACACCCACACACCACACACACACACACACACACACACACACACACACACACACACACACACACACACACACACAACACACACCACACACACACACACACACACTATATATATATAAGACATACATACATACAAAGACAAATTCAAGAAAATATATTTGCTTCATTGTA